TTTCCTTTAGGGCTTGGAATATGTCACTCCAAGCTCTTCTTGCCTTGAGGGTTTGCATTGAGAAGTCTGCTGTGATTCTGATGTGCTTTCCTTTGTATGTGATTTGTTTCTTTTCTCTCACTGCTTGTAGGAGTTTGTTCTCCTGTTGGGTTTCTGGAATCTTAACAATTATATGCCTATGTGTAGATTTTTTTTGATCAGGGCTATTTGGAGTCCTATATGCCTCACTTATCTGTATGTCAAGTTCTTTTCCCCTGCTTGGGAAGTTTTCTGTGAACAGTTTTTTTATGTCATCTGCACACTCTCCTGTTTCTTGGTTGACTCCAGTCAGTCTTATATAAGTTATTCTTCTTTGCATCATCTAGTGGCTGCTGGATTGATTTCTCATGGTCCCTTACAATTTTGAAGCAATTTTTCTTTTCCTGGTCACTCATTGCAGTCTTATCTTCTATATGTGAAATTCTGTCCTCACATTGGTTCATTCTGCTGTGTAGACTTTCAATGGAGTTTTTAATCTCCTGGAAACCTGTTTGTATCTGTTTTTTGGATTCCATTTGTTTCCTGTTTTGGGATTCCATCATGTTCCTCAGCTCCTCTATTTTTTTTATCTGTGTCCTCTTTAGATTTATTAATCATATCTGGTACTATGGGCACAATCTCTGTTATTATCAGAGAAATTATTTCTGATTTCATTTTTTCCAGGTCCTCTTTTGTTGCCAGTTCAGGGAGTCCAGGTGGTTGAGTATCAGAATGTTCCATCTCATTTCCCTTTGGGGTTTCTGTAGGTGATCTGGAAGTCTGGTTTTGAGACTTGTTTATGTGTCTTCTCATTTCAATGGGCAGGGTGGGGGAGAGTGCTGTTGGTGCACTGCTCACCTCCTCTGGGCTGGGAGCGGTGGAATGGCGGCCTGGAAGGCCCTACCTCTGGGCTAGGAGCAGTGGAACATCATTGTTTATTCTTGAATGAAGGAATGCAGCCCAGAGAGGTTAAGTAACTTGCTCAAGGCCACATAGCCACAGTAATACAACACTAGAACTAGAACCCCTGATTCTCTCTTCTAGAATTTTAGCAGTTTATACTGTAACTTTCTGCTTTTCAAACAAAGTTGAATTGAATGTTTAGAGTTACCATCTGGGGAGTGAGTTCCTTGGAATTAAGTGGAGCAAAGCATTATGAGCATGCCTGTACTCTCACCACCTGGAGGCTGAGGCGGGGGATTGAGAGTGCAAGGCCAGCCTAGGCTATATAACAAGTTAGAGGCCAGTTTGGAATGTAGCCAAATCCTGTTTTTAGAAAAAAGAAAAAAAAAAAAAGACAGGATTTTTTTTTTTGGTGGGGGGAGATAGGCTCTCACTATATATTTCAGCCTGGCCTTAACTCACTATGTGCCCAGGCTGACCTCAAACTCACGGCAATCCTCCTATCTCAGCCACCATGCCACCATGCCTGGCAACAGACAGGAATTAAGTGGAATGTCACATCACTTTTTGTTTGTCACTCAAGTATGCCTTTCCCAGAGGACAGGGACTGAGTGTTGTTCACCACTGTCAACTCCAGATCCCATGGTAGGTACTCAATAATTGTTTGATGAGTAAAATGAATGAATAAACTAGTAGATGTCCGGTTGACTTAACTGCTTGTCGCTAATGCAGACAGATAAGACTGTCTCATATTTATTTAAAATAGGAGCTATAAGCTGGGAGCTAAACAGATGTTAAATCTCAGAACATGGCTTACATTGAAGCAATGCCAGTTTCCTCTGTTGTTGCTAAAACTTTTTGGGGGGGTTTTGGGGGGTTGCTATAACTTTTTGATGCTGTCCCAGAAGCAGTGCTGCAGATCACTAACTAGATGATGTGCACTGGGAGCAATTTAGAGGTAGTGTAGCCCAGATGGTTGCTGTCAACTATGGGAGACCACCCCATTTGTTATGCCTGAAGCAGGCTGTGAGTAGTTCAGGCTGCAGAGTTAACCCCACAATTGACTTGTTTTGAGAAGTGTGTCTGACCAAAACCTACGTGACTGGATGACATGGCAGCTGAGGTTAGAGTGACTCGTACCCAAATTCCATTCCCAAAATTAAGAATGTTTTGTCTCTTACAAGCCTTGCCTGCATCAGCAATGTAACCCTAGCAACCACACATAGCCATCTCATCCTAACCTATGATGTCACTAATAAATATCAGTGGCTTTGGATGGCCAGAGTCTTTTGCTGTTTGCTCAGCTTGGCCATCCTGGCTCCCCATTTTGCTCTTTAACTCTGTCTTTAAGATTTTATTCTTACCTTCTGCTGTAGCACTGAGCAGGAGCTCAGAACCTGCTGTGGGAGTCTTTGATAGTCAACCTTCTAGACTTAAACCAAATTAGTTTTACTCTCAAAGTAGGCCAAACAAATTTGGATAAAAGTTCATGAATTGGGCCGGGGATTTAGCTCAGTGGTTCTACCACCTGCCCCACAAGTACAAGCACCCGAGTTTGATCCCCGGTACCAAAAAACCCCCCAAAAAACAAAAAACATGAATTTCAGGGTCAGAAGTTGCCTTAGGAAAACTAGTGAACACACCCTTTCCAAAGGATGGAGCGATGGACTGAATGGCCAGTATTCCTTCTGTCCCCTGAAGAATAGTTTTTTAAAAATCAGTCAAGGCCAGGGATTTAGCTCAGTGGCACCACAGCTGCTTTGCAAGTGCAAGGTCCCCAGTACCACACACACACACAAAAGTCAATCTGTTTATCTCTCTGTTTGCTTGCACTAGAGATCAAACCTAGGGATTCATGAATGGTAGGCAAAGTTCTACCACTGAGCTACCTACCTCTTAGCACCTACCCTCCCCACCTTTTTGGGCAGTACTGGGAATTGAACTCAGAACCTTTGACCTGAGCTATATCCTTAGCATTTGTTTGAGACAGGGTCTTGCTAAGTTGCTCAGTTGCCCAGGTTGTGTTCAAACTTGTAATCCTCCTACCTCAGCCTCCCAGAATGCTGGGATTACAGATATGTGCCACCATGTCTGGCTACCCAGACCCTTTTTTGTTTATTATTTTATTTTATTTTATTTTTTGGTACTGGGGATCGAACTCAGGTCCTTGTGCTTTCAAGGCAGGCACAGGAACCACTGAGCTAAATCCCCAGCCCACCTTTTTTGTTTATTTTGCGACAAGTTCTTGCTAGTTTGCCCAGACTGGGCTTGCATTCCTCCTGCCTCAGTTTCCCTAGTAGTAGTAATCCCTGGGATTACACACATATGCCACCATGTCTAGCTTTCATTTTCTCTCACTTCAAATGATAATCTCTAGCAATGAAGATTATTGTGTAATTACATATTTAATATGAAATGATGTAAAACTTTTTCATTATACTGAAACTGAAGGATGCTTAGCATTAGAAACACATCCTTTCATGATTAATATATGGAATTGGTGTTTGTCTTTTCCTCCTGCTAGACTTGGTGAATTTTAATAAGACCTCATGTGCTAAATTAGGACCTGTCATGGGCTATCATTTTTTTTTGTTTTTGTTTTACTTCATTTCTCCTTTGTTCTTTCTTTTCTTCTTTTCCTTGTAACTTCTTTTGCCTTCTCATTTTTCCTCCATTGTATATTTATTAAATTGCATTGTATCGGGCTCTTAATTAGGTGCTGGGAATATAAAAATGAATAAATCAGAATTTCTATTTTTTTTTTAAAGAACTAGGGAATGAATCCAGTCTTCACACTGAGGTACATCCAGAGTCCCTTTTATTTTTTCTAGACAGGGTCTTGCTAACTTGCCCAGGCAGATCTTGAACTTGTGATGCACTGCCTCAGCCTGAGTGCTGAGATTATAGGTATATGCCACCATGCCTGGCTCCTATCTTTTAAGTATAGTTAATGGTCTAAGACTGGCATGGTGGGACATGCTTCTAATCCCAGCACTGAAGAGTTTGAGGCAGAAGGATTGCTGTGGGTTCAAGGCTAGCTGGGGCTACATAGTGAGTTCAAGGCCAGCCTGAACTACATAAGACCGTCTCAAAAAAAAAAAAAAAAAAAGGTAAATTTAAGGAATGGTCTTAAATTCCTTTACTAACGAAATTTCAGAAAATACAGTTTCTCTGAAACTTTGTTTTTCATACACGTAGCAGATTCAAGAGTGTTTAGTAAATACTTTTTTCTTATAAAAATGTAGTTTGGGTCTGGGAATGTAACCCAGCGGTAGAGTAGTTGCCTAGCATGTACAAGGCCCTGGGTTCAACCCTCACTCAGTACCACTGCCACCACCCCCCAAAAAAGTAATTTGAATTAATCTAAATAATCTTTTCATCTGTTTCATGGCTATTCATTTTTGTTGTTGTTTGGTTTGGTTTGTTTTTTTGTGGTACTGGGGGCCAAACTCAGGACCTTGTGCTTACCAGGCAGGCACTGTGCCACTGAGCTACATCCCTGACCCAATGGCTGTTCATATGTATGTTGCTGTTCACTTTTGAACTTTTATATTTTCACCATATAACTTTCATATGTTAGAGAAGAGTAACAGCAGATTAGGAAGCCTCCTGAATCAACATTTTGGGCTTATTAGCACTAACAATGAGTCCATACACTTAACCAGAATTTCTGTGTTGTTCCTTAATAATTATGGAGATTTTCTCCCTTTCATGTCCAGGTGTGCCAGATAGTGCCCATGCCAGCCAATCACCTGCCTGTTGGGAGCACCATGAGCACTGTGCACCTCTCTTCAGATGGTACTTACTTCTACTGGATCTGGTCTCCTGCTAGTTTGAATGAGAAAACACCGAAGGGACATTCTGTCTTCATGGACATATTTGAACTTGTGGTACGATCTCATTTTGTATCTTTGCAGAAACATTTTTATTTGTTTTCTTTTTATATTAATGTACAGAGGTCCTAAGATCCTTACAGTATGTATAGTGTGTTTACTGTTCCTTAACGTTGATCTTCCTCTTGGATGTCTGTGGAGGGCTTTTTGTTTGGGATTGTATGGCATAAGTAGAGCCAAGCTTTCTGAATGGTAATTTGGCAAGAAAGGAGATAACATTATCAGATGTGTCAATGGGGGGGGGTATTTAAATAGAAATGCTCATGGGGGGTGTTGGCAATGTGGGACTCAATTGTAGTAGCAGAAGGGCTCTAAAAATAGAAATTGGGAGTGTCCAAGAGCAGTAAGAATTACGATTGTGAGATGCATTCATTCCCTGGGTGTTACCTGGATGCTCACTCAGAGCCATACAGCATCCTACCTAGCTGATGGAATGCACTGCTGGCAAGGTGAGCAGGCTCTTTCTTGCTCAGGTTGGACTTGAATGCCAGCTCCACGGTTGGGTGGACTGGGGTGATGGTGGTGGAGAAATAAAAAAATGTAACCATAAAGTGAGCAAAAAGTGGCAAGATGGTTTTAGGCAGTGAAGGAGAAGTAGTGGTACCAGTTAAAGAATTTGGAGAGAAGTCAAGGGAAGAACATACCAGAGAGAGAGGACCACAGTGTGGAGGTGACAGTGGAGCTGGATGCAGAAGAGGAGAACTTGGGTGAGCTCGGGGGCCCAGGTCCAGATCTGTGCCGTCCAGTGTCCTGTCCAGTGCAGAAACTACTAGCCACCCACAGCTATTTAAATTTCAGTTAATCAGAATTAAATAAAATTAGAACCTTAGTTGCCCAGTTGCATTAGCCACATTTGAAATGCTCACTGAGGCTGTCTACTCAACAGATACCATAAGATCGAGAACATTTCCATCACTGAAGAAAGTTCTCTTGGAGAGAGGTGGTCTAGGTCACATTTATAGAGAATTAGAAAAAAAATTGCCTGAAGCCAGATCTGTGTCAGAAGCAGCTTTTCGTAATGTAATTTACAACATCCTTCTAGAAGAAATTAGCATTCCTGGGGGGAAAAAAGCACTATAACAATTTTCTAATAAATCTTAGTGGGAAAAAAAAAATCTTAGTGGGATTAAAACTTGTTCTGGGAGGCCAGTTATTCATCCTGCCAGCACACTGTCAGGAGTCCAATAGTCCTTAGAGGTACGTTCTCTTCTTTTCCTCTCTATTCTTACAGTATTCCCAGCCATTATCTGTTCTGGCAAAATGATCCTGCCATAGTGAATCTTTGAATGGGTTTGCTAGACACTGTATTATTTGAACATGTGTTCATAATTGTGAGACATGATTTATGTTTTTATTTTAAACAGACTTACAAGCTCTTAAAGAATTTAGTTCTTTATCTGAAGAGTAATGGGAGCATTGAAAACTTCCCATTTTCCTTGCTATGCTTTGCTTTTTTTTTTTTTTAGCTAAATCCCCTTTGTTTCATTTATTTATTTATTTATTTATTTATTTATTTATTTATTTTGGTACTGGGGATGGAACTTGGGACCTTCCACTTGCGAGGCAGGCGGCAGAACCACTGAGCTAAATCCCAGGCCCTATGCTTTGCTTTTTAAAAAATCCACTTTGCTTTTATTAAATTAAAAGAAAAAATTGTGCCTAAGAAATCCACACCCATGATTCAAAACAGCACACAGACACTCATAAAGTGAGCTTCCTCTGCCTTGTTCCCCCAGCCAGCTGCTCATAGTCACTCACTTTCATGGTTTCAGCTTTTAGTTTTTCTATAGGTTACCTTCTTATCTCTAAGTAAAATGCCTGTATTGCTGTTTCTTGATTGATGAACTCCAGATTTGGGGGGGAGTGGCAGATGAAGATTTGCCTAAATTTCCCCTCTTGCTTTTCTTATTAACACTAATGTACTTATTTATTTTAGTTCTTCCTTTGTTATCTTGGTAACTTATTGTTATACCATTATTTCTTGTTCATTAGCTCTAGACGCTGTCTTTTGTCCTTTACTTTAGAAATGGAGAGGTAGTGTCCCTTCCTGCTCCTCAGGGTGGAGAAAGCCAAGACTGAAAGTATACAGTGAGGAGAACACCAGGAGGAAGAGAGATGGTTTGCCACCACTTCAGGGTTGGAGAGCTCAGAGAGTCACAGAGCCATCATGAGAGCAGGGCTACACACTGAAGGTTTTCATGAGGGCCTCTCAACCTCTTCCTGGCACACACACACTTATGCTCAGATGCTGGCTGCTTAGGCAAAAGACTAAACATTTATTTTCTGAAGAAACTAAATTACCCTACAGAAAAGGGTCTGTGTACATCGATGTTGGAGTTCATCTAAAGCAGAGACTTTTCTCCCTGGTAAGTCACTCACAGTGCTGTCTCCCAGTTAGCAATACTTAACCATGTCCACAGAGGTTCTTATCATGTTGACTGTTAAAACAAGGGCAGACAAAACAAAATCCCAAACAAGCCCTAACTTTGGAGAGGCATGTATGTGGAAAGGAAGTGAGTAGAGAAAATAAGGCTGTCAGAGTAGTGATAATTACTGAAGCCAGGAGAGGGCACATGGGGAATACATATATCATTCTTTCCTCTTTTGTATATGTTGATAATTTTCCCTAACAGCATGGTTAAAACAACCAAAGAATAGACAACCAAGGATCACCAGTCAAATAAGGAAAGCCACCAATATGAAAATGAAAATTAAGGAAAAGCAATAGAAGGGATAGTACAAAGCTACATCAATACTAAGTGCTATGTGAGATGTGAGGTGATATCACATTTATAACAGGGTGTCTCAAAAAAAGAACTATCAGAGGAGAGAGCACTCCTAGAAGTTAAAACTATCATTATCCAAAGCTAAAAATTACTACGAGTCAAATATATCTCCTGGAAAGCAAGACAAGTAAATAAAAAAATAAACATGAGAGAAAAGATAGAAGGGACAATGGAGTAATCTGTCTACAGCCTTGCAAGTTGGAACTCCAAAAAGAGAAGAGAGAAAATAAAAGAATATCAAGAAATAATAAAAGAAAAAATTTGGACTAAATTCTGCTTGTATCTAGAGTAAAAAGTATCTGGAACAGAAATGGAAAATGCCCATGCCATGGTACATCATCATAAAATTTTAGATTACTAAGGATGAAAAAAAGATTCTAAAACTTCCAGAAAATTTTTAAAAAATTATATGCAAATAGTGAGGAAACAGAAAAGCACCAGGCTATTCAACAGCATTTCTGTATGCAAAAATAGAGCATTACTTCCAAAATTCTAAGGGAAATTGATTTCCAACCCAGAAGTCAGTATTCAACCAAAGTATTAATCAGCTGTGAAGACAACATAAAGATATTTTTAGACATATAATTATATAATCAGAAGCCCAGACCTGCCCCACAAGAAATGGAACAACTAAAATAGACCCTGCCCGCAGCATGAAATAAAAAGTTGAGGAAGGAGCCTGCTCTAGATTAAACGAAGTACCTTTGAATCATTTTTGGAGTCTAAATCAAACAAACCAGCTGTAAAAAAAAACTTTTTGGAGACCATTTGAAATTTAAATATATGCCAGAGATTTAGCTCAGTACACCAGTGTGCACCTGCCTGGCAAGCGCAAGGTCCTAAGTTCGATTCCCGGTACCAATAAAACCACATTAGATTTAAATATAAAAGTATTAAGAGTATTAGTTAAATCCAAAAGATTAGTCTTCACTTGCTTTTTAAGTATGGTAATGACATTGTGGTTATATAAGAAAATATCCAGACTTTTAGAGATCTTTATTGAAGTAGGATTACATGATATCTGGAATATGCCTTAAAATATCTGAGCAGGCCAGGCCAAGTATGATCCAAGCTACTTGGGAAACTGAAGCCCGAGGATCGAAAGTTCATGGTCAGCCTGGGCAACTTAGTGGGACCTTGTGTCAAAATAAGAAGGTAAAAAGGGTTGGGATGCTCAGTGCAAAGGCCCTAGATTTAATCCTCCATAAGGTTTTTTTAAAAATAAGTGAAAAAAGAGGAAGGTAGGTTACACAGATATGGCAATGTCTGGATAATAGTTGAATTTGTTCTTTTTTTTTTTTTTTTTTGGTACTGGGGATCGAACTCGGGACCTTGCTCTTTCGAGGCAGGCGCTGGAACCACTGAGCTAAATCTCAGGCCCTGGATAATAGTTGAATTTGGACCATGAGTATATGGAAGTTCATTGTACTATTCTCTTTTTGAATATGTTTGAAATTTTTTGTCATTAAAATTTTTCTTTGTTTTTTTTTTTGGTTTTTTTTTTTAAACCGGAGATTGAACTTGGGACCTTGGGCTTTCGAGGCAAGCACCAGAACCACTGAGCTAAATCCCTGGCCCTCTTTCTGGTTTTTTGAGACAGAATCTCACTATATAGTTCAGATTGGCCTTGAACTCACAATGTAGCCTAGGCTGGCATTGAACTCTTGGTGATCCTCCTGCCTCAGCTTCCCAAGTTCTGGGATTACAGCCATGCATCATCACACCAAGCTAAAATTTTAAAAAAATCATCACTGGCTACTTATGTAGTGGCTTTTCTAAAATGCTACCTTGGGAGCAATCTGGCTTACTGTCTATAACACTGTCACAGAAGGGAACACCGTAACCATTGAAAAGTATGAAGCAGATCTACATAAAATAATGTAGATTAATTTCTAAATTACATTGTGTACAATAAAATGATGGGGTTCAGAACACTGTGTATTCCCTACCTGCTGTGGGATGAAAAAGTGGGAGTTCAGTGGGGTTGTATCAGTTCGGGTTCTCACTGCAGAGTCCCATGTGAATTCATTTTGGGAAGCTGAAGGGCCTACATTGGAAGGCTGCAGAGTCTGCCCTGGAAGCCTGGAGATGGACATCCAGAGTTAGTGGCACAGACCAGAGCTCCTCCGAAGAAGCAGAAGTGAGACTTCCTTCTTCCTTCCATTTTTATTCCATCCAGGCTACAAGCCTATTGGTTGGTCCCACCCACAT